TATTTTAATAAAATATAATAATGTTACGAAGGTGTAACCAAAGACAGTAAGTTACTCAATAATCAAAGGTTTGGGGTTTGAGAATGTTATATTTTAAAACATTCGAGGGTAAGCATTTTCCAATAATTAGAAATCGATCCAATATTACTGAATTATACCGAATTAGGTTACAATAACTAGAAACCAGTGAGATGTTTTTGAGATGTGTTATTTTGCGTTCTTGAGCTTCACCTCTACAAAGGTTTTTAAAAACCGAAACAAAGATCGATGTTATTTACTATAAAACCTTAGTAGTATTTTCAAACAAAGGATTTTATTAATATGTTCTTCCTATTCGTTTATACACAACGTAGACATTACTTTATAAACGAAAATCTAACTCGAAATAGCCCGTTTTTTTCTTTTTCTTTTACAAAAACCAAACAATAAATATAACGTTAAGTTTTCTAAGAGATAAAAAATATAATTTTAACATTTTTAAATAATGTATTATCTTCACATTTTGATGGATTTTTTCACGAGACAAATACTGCGTGCAAAATATTAACTATTTAGAAAAATAAAGCTAATTTCTTTATAGAAAAGCACACATACTGTTAGATATAAGATAAAGGCAATAAAAATGTAAGAAAAGCACAAATACTGTTAGATAAAGGCAATAAAATGTAACTTACTTTTGATATTGTGAATTTTGATAGAAACTAATCCTTTTTCATGCTATGAAGGACTGAGCTTCAAATCTTTAGCTTTCAAGACAGGTTCTAGAATGTTGAAAAAATGCATTCAATGCTTTTAAATTGTATATTTATTTTTTCAGGCCAAACAAAGCCTACGTTTTTGTGAGTTTACCTCCATTTAACAAAAATTGCATATTTTTAATTGAATATTGTTTTGATGAAAAACTGGAGATAACCCAAATAAAATCAATAGTAAAACTCTAAACAGTTAAACTGGGATATAGCTCAAAAATATACACTAACACTAAGTTAGTTACTGTTTCGCTAAAAGTCCAGTGTTTGTACTTGTCTAACAAGATTACATGACACTTCAGTTAATCAGTATGCAAAGATAAGAAAATGCCAGCCAATCCAATCTTAGTGTTACGAATGCACCGACCAATGCAATCGTTGTTTCAATACTTTCATTTTTAAAAGGCTTTAATAATTTCCAATAACATCATATACGTTAGATCTTGGGACTTGCTATAAGATACTAATAAGATAATTAAATCATCAATTAAAATTCTGTGTAAATATGGATAATATTACAAGATTTAAAACAATTAATGTCTGTGGGTCATGGCCTGGCATGGCCAGGTGGTTAGGGCACTCGACTCGAAATCTGCGGGTCGCGGGTTCGAATCCCCGTCACACCAAACATGCTCGCCCTTTCAGCCGTGGGGGCGTTATAACGTTACGATCAATCCCACTATTCGTTGGTAAAAGAGTAACCCAAGTGTTGGCGGTGGTTGGTGATGACTAGCTGCCTTCCCTCTAGTCTTACACTGCTAAATTAGGGACGGTTAGCGCAGATAGCCCTCGTGTAGCTCGAAATTCTAAACAAAACAAACAAACTGTGGGTCATTAAATATAAATTTTTATTTTTAAATTATGTAAAAATAAAGCTTTTATACAGTATGTGTTTAAACATGCGGATTTTGTTTTAAGATTCATAATGAACTGAGACAACTGATAAAACATTACTCAATTAACTTTTGAAAAGAATGTAATTCGTTCATTATGTCTTCCAGTGGATTAACGTTAAGGTTAGGGACTTACAAACCTAAAAAGTGGGTTTCGATTTTCTACGGTAGACAGAGTGCATATAGCCTATTGTGTAGCTTTGTGCTAAAGCAACCAAAAGAAACGTTCATTTTATTGAAAATAAAATGGGACACTTTATACGTATGCATATTTTAGATAACGTTGTTAAGTTTTAAAGCGCTTATCTGTGAAAATATTTTTCAATTATATCGTAAACATTTGAAACAATAAAACCTGATTAATCTTTTTTACGTTTTTCTATATTATCTGTGGCAAATCTGGCATTTTTCCTCAATAAAAAGTTATGATCTTGTCTAATACCATACTGATCGAACAAAACATGATAGTAATATGTGAACTGATTATGAGCTGCAGGGGGTTGGGAGAGACTGGCTCCTATCTTTGTATTTTATTCCCTTGCAGCAAGGACTAGGTGAACATGTGAATGTCGTGCTATTCGTATAACTGGAATAAAGAAAGTATGTGGGAACCGAAATGCTTTCAAATTTACAGACACAAAAACAAAAACAAAATATAACTGCCTTATTTTAATTTTTTTCTCTCTCCCAGAAGATCGTATGAACCTTACACCTGTTTGTTTTCTATGGGATGTCGTTAATACCCATACAGTTGTTTTAAAAAATTGTGTAATGCATCTTCTGTTTCATTGTGTGCTTTTATCGAATATTCTACTATGGTAAGAATATTCTACCAAACAATTTTTTTTTTGTTAAAACTATTCAACATTCATGCAGTTGTCTTTATTTCTACAAATAAGGCGTTAAAACCTTTACTTAAGCTTTGTTTATTAAGCTATATTATGCTCTTGTTGACCCCATGCTTTCAGTATTAACAGTGTAAAAAAAAAAATTCCAACATGAGGTAAAACTTTCTCAAGTTTTTGGCATTTAGAGAATCGAAATTAGCGTAACATTTACCAGAGATTGGCATTACATGTGCGGTGTTTCTAGTTCTCTTTTACTCGCAACAGTGAACTTACTGTTATGCAGGATTTGAATAATATGCAAACAAGAGTACAGGGCCACTTATGAGGGGTGTAATTCCACGAAACATGCATAACTCAGTGACAAATGGTGTTTCGAATGATATATTGGGCTTCATATTCTTTTTTTAAAGACTTGAAGGGGTTTGATCCAACACATATCTTGTTGGTTACCGACATTAAGCTCTCAAAAAATGATAGTGTATAATTTTTTTTACTTTACCGTATCACGAATCATCTCAGAAACAGACTTAAAACTACAGTGTCAGTCAAAGAGTTTAAAAAGTGGTAAATGTCAACTGTATATTTCAAGTTACCATTGCGCATAAAGTAATTAACATCTTCGGTTTTGTTCGATAAAAACATTTAACACAATAAATCGCTAACAATGGCGGACGGAATTGAAAATATGGTTATGAAGGAATCGAATTTTGTCATCTGGTTTGTGTTCATGTGCTGATTCATATATATTTGGATGTATTTCGTTTTATAATAGTCTTTGTATTGCCGTCATTTATATGTGACATAAGTATGGAATCATCAATATACTGATATCATTACAGGTTTTTATATTAGTGGTGTACTTTAGAAGTTGACCACTGGGCAGTACCACTTGTGACTGACCCACCAACAATAAGAGTCAAACACACAGTAAGACTCGGACGATTTTGAAAGTTGTATTGATACAACTGAGTGCTAAACCTTTGTACTTAGTATCCAGGAATGTTAATACGATATTCAGTTTCAGTATAGGGTTTAAAAATTGAGGCATCACAGAAAAGAAAGACCCCTGGTGAAAGATTAAAATACATAAATTTAAATGTAATATGGTTTAGAAAAGTTTTGAAGCTCATTATTTCAAATAATTAATGTTCTAAGTTTGTTTATTTGAAGTTAAGCACAAAGCTGCACAATGGGCTATCTGTGCTCTGCCCACCCCGGGTATCGAAGCCCGGATTCTAGCGTTGTTTCATTATAACTGAACACGTTTACATATTTATACTATTGTAACTAAGAAAAAAAAATTTACTTTCTTTAAAACGTAGTTATTAAATCTCGGAACGTATACAGTTTACTTATGCAGAGACCGACATTTTCCAAACGTTTCCAGTGGTTAAGCGCACCGGTCTACTTTTAATTGCGTTTATTTAACACAGTGAGTGTAATTATATAATTTATTTTCCTTCTTTACGACCTCATCGGAAAATTGAAGGATTCTAAAGTAGATTTACACTGACTTAGTTCAATAAAGTATTTAGTTGAATATTACTCTCAGCATTTTATGATAGTTATTAATTTATGTTGGTAATATTAGGCATAAGCCCAGTGAGCAAAGACGAGTTAACTCTTGAACAGAAGTGTTCTTATAATATTTGTTAATTATGTGAACAAAATAAAAATTCACAGCTACAAATACATCACAAGATACTTGATAATGATCAATTACTAGTTTGAAAAAGAGTGAATAAAAGATGCTTGAACCTTCATATTAAAAACAATCTACTACCTATTAAACACATAATACTAATCTATTAATTTGTCATAACAAGGTTTTTAAAGAATGAGATTAAAACTTTTAGGTTATAAATCTGGAATCTCACTTCCCTCACACAGATATATATAGTAAGGCTGATACTTCGGAAACTGTCTGCTGATTTTGAAGTTTTAGATATGAAAATATGTTACTATGTATCACATAAATATATAAAAAGCTCAACTAGGTAGAAAATTTTTACGTCTCTCAGTCAGAAAAAACTGTTCGTTTAACAAACCTTTCTTCTTGTTTCTGCACAGAATATTCCTAAAATATGTCACGTTAAGAAATTTCTTGCAGCGTCACTTTAAAACAGCCTTATCCAATTAGCGTTGAGAATAAAAAAGTAAGAGATGAAGCCTACCTAAAATCTGAACTTAGGCGTTTATGACATTTTAATTACTTTATTATCTAGTAAGGTATCAAAGTGACAAGTTTCTAATATTTAGCCAGGTGTAAGATTTAGATAGTTATCAGATAGCCTTCGTGTAGTAAACAGACTTTGCATATATGCTTTCGTGACCTGAAGCCTTTCAGAGAAAATAATAAAGTACAGAACATCTGATAAAGAATGAGGCTACGTGCTCTTCACTTGAATGGTGTCTTAATAGTTTTTAGATAATCGTATAGGAGGGTTAAACCCTAATCGATTTTAGCTAGAGCTATAAAACTAATACGCTCTTGAATAACTATTACTCTTTGAAGTTCAAGGTCTTGGTAAGTTTGAGGCCCTTGACAGTCATTCAGTTAGTTTATTTTTAAGCTAAAGATTGTGGAATGTTTAATATTAAACAACACCTAACAATTACGGAATGTTTAGTATTAAATAACACCTAAAGATTGTGGAATGTTTAATATTAAACAACACCTAAAGATTGTGGTTTGTTTAGTATTAAACAACACCTAAAGATCGTGGATTGTTTAGTATTAAACAACACCTAAAGATTGTGGATTGTTTAGTATTAAACAACACCTAAAGATTGTGGATTGTTTAGTGTTAAACAACACCTAAAGATCGTGGATTGTTTAGTATTAAACAACACCTAAAATTGTGGATTGTTTAGTGTTAAACAACACCTAAAGATCGTGGATTGTTTAGTATTAAACAACACCTAAAAATTGTGGATTGTTTAGTATTAAACAACACTTTTAGTCGTATAAATTGAATGTGTAATTTACTTGCTGCATTCATTAATTTCATTGCACGTTTCGTGGTTTTTACAGTAACAGAATACTTATTTATTAATATTACTTTTTTCGAATCATTGCTCATTATATGTAATAAAGTATTTTTTGAATATTGCAGACTACTTTTTAGTCTCATATGTTTCATGTCAAAACTTAAAAACGATAACAAGTAAACAAATCAATCATACTTTCTTGTTTTTTTTCCCTAAGATTTCTACTACCATGGTTGAGTGGAATCATACAGAATCAGCAGGACTTGCCCTTTCGGGGGGATCAGATGATAGATATTTTTTGTGGATGCGTCGTCATAGTGATGACACGGCGATCACAAATTTATTTCCACATGATATGGGACATTTGATAAGAGATCATTGGCGACAGTTTCAAGCTCCGAGCTCGGAATGGTACTTCGCTATAGGGGTTATTATGTTGATATTAGAGTTAATTGGTCTCACTGGAAATTTCTCAGTAATTTACATATTTTTGACCACGAAATATTTACGGCGTCCATCAAACATGTTTATTGTCAACTTGGCGTTTTCAGACTTTATGATGATGTTTACAATCATGCCAATGATGGTTGTATCTTGTTTTAAACAAAAATGGATTTTTGGGCCACTAATGTGTGAAATATATGGAGCGTGTGGATCTGGATTTGGATCGGTTTCTATTATAAGCATGGTTGCCATTGCAATGAACCGTTATCGTGTCGTTGTGAAGGGACTGTCGAGCGAGAAACTTACTTATAAACAAGCGATCCTGTGGATTTGCCTAATATGGATCTACGTCGGTCTATGGACTTCAGCTCCTTTCTTCGGTTGGAGTTCTTATATTCTAGAAGGTAATTTTATCAACTGCTCTTTGGACTCAGTGAGCCATAACTGGAACTCTCGATCTTATGTTATTGGTTACAGCATTGGAGTGTATTTCTTACCCTTGTTTTTCCTTACATATACCTACTATTATGTTGCCAAAACTGTTATACAGCAAGAATCTGCCTTACGAAAATACAGTCGTTGTATGAGTGTCGACCAGTTAAAGCCGAGACAATCTAAAATAACAGTGGAAGCCAAATTATCTATGGTAGCTCTGATAACAGTCGTTATGTGGTTTGTTGCCTGGACACCGTATATCATTTTTATCTTTCTAGGATCTTTTACCAGTGGAAAGTTCTTCACACCATTATTAAGCTTATTGGGAGCTGTTCTTGCTAAATGTGCTTCCTTCTGCGATCCTATTGTATATGGAGTCAGTCACCCTAAGTATCGAGAAGCACTTAGAGAAAGAATGCTTAAATTCTACAAGTTTTTTTCCTGTGGTAAATGCAGGCCTACAAAGGAAAACGAAGACCACAAAAACCAGCACGAGTTAACAACAATTGAGAAAAACAATTCGACGACAGAAGCTGATCACTAAATATATATATATATAGTACGATTAGTTTGTAGGTGGAAAGGTTATCCTAAACTACTTCTCTTTTATAGACTAACTTTCAGTGCAAGCTTAGCATACCGCGTCATCTGTTGATGATAAAACGTAATAGTTGAAAAATATTAATGTAACAAAAATATTTTAGTCATACCGCAAATTTAGAAATGTGAAATTTATTACAATTTAAGATATAACATTTTCGAGTCTCAAAAGTGTTAACTAGAAATTGGTGTATTTTTTTCCCTACTTTGTTTATCACGCTTGTTTACAAATATCAAAAACACTCTTTGCTTGATTAGAATTTTCGTTCTAATCTACACAAGAGCTATCACAGGCATAATCGTCCATAATGTTTAAACCATAGATTTGAGAAAAAGCAACTAATTAATAACATCCACAGCCAACTCTTGAGCTACTCTTATCTGAGCGAAAAGTAAGGCTTAATCATTCTTAGAGCGCCCTCACAGGCTCGCTAACTACTGACCATGCCCGACCCTCAAAACAAAATGGTCGAACATATTTTCCAAATATATAGAATATTTATGTAGTAGTTAGTAGCTTCTGATGTAAATGCATGCTATCGGTTAAAAAAGTGCCTCAAGCTTAAACTAGAAGAAAAATATATTGCGAGTTCCTCTTATGTTAAATAAAATGAATACTGTATTTCTAAAATATCACGATATGTAACTGTAATGTACGTACCCTAATTACACATAGCATATAACGGTTGTTATAAAAATCATAGTGAGTTAAATACGATGATAAATACAATTAATTAGTAGATATATTTTCAGTATCGTCAATTGTATATTGTATTTGTTTTATCTCTTTCACAAATGGTTTAATGTCCCGAAATGTTCCTAATAAACCTCAAATAGAATATTTTACCTTGTGTTTTAATTGCTCATCTCTGTTATAGCTCTCATTCTTTTGTGTTAATTGTTGCGTGGTTTCTTATGTTTTTTAAATCTCAATCTCAAATAAAATATTTTACCTTGTGTTTTAATTGCTCATCTCTGTTATAGCTCTCATTCTTTTGTGTTAATTGTTGCAAGGTTTCTTGTTTTTAAATCTCAAATGATAAAATTTTCCTTTATTCTAGCATTCAAATTTTATCGGAATGGTAACGTCAAGAATATTCGAAATTGAAAAAATTGTATCATAATTATTTAGTTTGTTTAGTTTGTGCATAAAACTCGATTATTCTCGATTATTATATTCTCTTCATCTACTGTTTCTTTCTCTTAGTGTTTGCTCTGCTGCGAACGTCCAGATACAGACATTCAATATTTCATACTTTTGTGTATAATGTTATTATAACTTTGCTTGTAACATGATTTTACATAACTAAGTTTTAATATATATATATTATTGTAAATGCGACAGTTTGTACATTTTTAGGTTAGGGCGCTCGACCCACAATCTGTGGATCGCTAGTTCGAATCCCAACAACGAGCTTGCTCGCTCTTTTAGTTGTGGGGTTTTATAATGTTACGGTCAATCCCAATATTCGTTAGTAAGGAGTATCTCAAGAGCTTGCGGTGGGTGACGTTGACTAGCCTCCTTCCCTCTAGACTGTCACTTTTATATTACTGACGGCTGGCGTGGATATCCTTCGAGTAGCTTTGCGCAAAATACAAAATAAACTAACAGAGCAAATTATTCCGCCAAATATTCTTGTTCTTGTAATAAATGTTTAAACATTACTAGAAACTAAAACTTCGAATCAATATATATATATATATATATATATATTATCTAAAGTAGATAACCAGACAGAACGATTGGGAGTAGCATTATCTTCGACTGTTAAAACACGTTCTCAGTATTGAATTTCTATAATGTAATATATTTCCGAAACACAGATATTTCATTTGAATGTCGTCACAAATTTACTGGCAGGATATTATAAATAATTTCTTTACGTTTGTTTGTAATTAAGCACAAAGCTACACAATGGGTTATCTGTGCTCTGCCCACCACGGGTATCGAAACGCGGATTCTAGCGTTATAAATCCGCAGACATACCGCTGTGCCACTGGGGGGCACGTTTGTTTCTAATTAAGCACAAAGCTACACAATGGGTTATCTGTGCTCTGCCCACCACGGGTATCGAAGCCCGGATTCTAGCGTTGTAAGTCCGCAGACTACTGGGGGGCTTTTCTTTACGTTCAGTCGGTTCTGTGGGAAAATTCTAGAACCAGAATCGTAGTTAAAATTTTATTTTAAAAGTAGATATTTAGTTGTCTTAAAAACATTTCGATACTATTAATGTTTGTTTGTTTGTTTTTGAATTTCGCGC